GTTCTCAGTTTCGCCCGCGCTATCCACCGGCACGGAGATAATAAATGTCCGCGTATCTCCTAGATAACGAATCTCAGGTTATCGCGTGGTATATCTCGTTATCGCCACTCGTGAGGAGAGTTATCATTTTTCGCACGCNCCCCGCCCCCCCCCCCCTCGCTCCCCGTTACTTTTCATTTGATGTAAGACAGATCTCGGCGAATGTCACCTGTGTGAAAATTCGATCGGATACGCGATGAATTGCGTTAGCGAGCAGCGTCTCGACTTTAGATTCGCGCTATAGCGAACTCGACTCGCAATTAAAGGATAACATTTTATCCGTTTTTACTTCGCCAATTTCTCCTACTTATTATTCGCAACTCTCCGAAGCTTAATCCCAATGAGACCGGGCCTTTTCGCGACTTCGAAATTATACGATCCTCGACATTGTAATCCAATTAAACTTCGTCGGAACCAACGTCGATTGGACTCTTGCGTCTCGAAAGCATTCTCGTTGCGACACGGCGCGATTAAAAGTCAAAGGTGGTAGTAATAATTAATAAATCATTCAATTTTGAGCGTTCGTCACGAATACTTATCAGACACGCGCTGTCTCCTTCAAGACCGCTGCTCCCGCGAAGTGGACCGTTTTTTAACGCGCCGACTTAGTCAATGACATCATAGCGAATAAGGATCCTCCGATGTACCACCTGCTCATACGTCGCGTGTGGCGCAAAGGTCAATCGCAAATGGGGTCGTTACTTCGCAACGAGCCTCTTCTTTCGCTATATCTCCGTATACATTAGCATAGCTGCGAGTAGCACGTGCCATTTCTACCGCGGTAGAAACGACGACGCATGAATGTCAGAGAAATCACGAAGTATCTCTCATCCGCAACGCGACGCAGTGGCGTAATCAATGAATAAACGTGTGTCGCGATACCGGCCTCGTACGTATCAGGGCCTCGCGCATATCAATGCCCACTTCCGGCGAATTTGTGCAAAGCCCGAACTACCCGGAGAAAGCAGTACGAGAGCTCGCTCTTGTGTCGCGAAAGTATCGTCCCGAAATGCGACGAGAAACGTCACGACGTGTTTTCTGACTTGAGAAGTTTGCGGAATTACTGATGCATCGGGGACTTCGTTCTTGGACTTTGCTCGAGAATACCGAGCATTCTTGCTACTTTCCCGACAACAAAGATCCACTTCTCTTCGGGGTGAACGTAGATTAGTCATCGGTACATCGTGATCTATGATCCGCGACAGTGCAAAGGCCAAGTTCTTTCTCAATATTTGCATATTATTATAACATGTAAAACGTCCGAGGAATAATGTGGTGGAGTACTTAAAGGTGGTAACGTGGGGCATCGGATGTGTGCGATTATGAATCAGGTTTTCTTTAATCTCACTTTTAACACAATGCATATTCCTCCGTGATAACGCGCACTCGATTATTGAGATAGAGGAGCGCTTGTTTTTTTCTAAAAAAGAAACAAAATAACAGACGACTCAGTAAATAGTATTTCCAGCGTTTTCGTTGATTCTTTTAATTAGTACATTGCTATCAAATTCTCATCGTTTATCGTCCGAGTCGGTGACCCCCCACGGAGAAACTTCGATTACGCCACTGGTTGCAACCTTCCGGACCACGATAACTCGACGAAGTATAAAGCGTCGCGCGTTTTCTCAGCAAACTTTGACGCGTTCGTCGTCATGGACTTCTGGTCCGGCTCTCCAGTCGTAATTTGTCTTATAATTGAATGAGTCCGGTATGCTGCCTACTTTCATCGAGATTAAAATAATCTCGAAAGAAGGCTCGTTCGCTCGCACTCGCGCTGGTATGTCTGCGAAATATGCTGCACTTTAACGTTGAATAGTTCAGACGACAGCGAAGAAAAGAGACCGTGACCCAGGGCCAGCTTTCAAGAATAACGGATCTGAAAGTCTTATTTCGAAGCTGTACAAAGTAAAAGGTATAAACTTTGAGAATAAATAAGCAATCTTCCCTTCTGTTACCTCCGATGCGTTCTCCCCTTTGTCTCCAGCTTTCTTCCAGATCTTCGATTCCGTCGAATCTGACTCCGAATAGATTGATGTCAATTAATTTGTCACGAGCACTTCTATCCTTGAGAATAACGAAAGCAGGTTGTATTTAGCGCATTTCGACTCGGCTTAATTTCGCCGTGGCTGGAACACACTCGAGACACACTCGAGTTCACTAATGCAGGCTGAATTGAACTTTGCTCGATGAATGCATCGACCGCTTTATACTTACAAATCCGCCATTGTTCAAGCATCCACGGTCGGCATTCAACTTCATTTGATGTGTTAATTTCCACGTCGCGTTCTTTCCCCAGAGGACAACGCGCGCGAGAGGACTTGCGGCCGGTCGGACGGCCATTGTTCTTGCGGGAAAGTAAAACACGGCAAGATCAGAGTCTGAGGAAATTTCATTACTCTCGTCTAGCTTGAAGAAAGGTGGTTGTAAGTTATACTTTGTGGCACTTGGTCTCAATTTGCGTTTCTCTCACTTTGAGGGCATTGAGAAACTCGCGGCGATAATGCTGCCGCTTTGTAAAGTCCGCTCGCGAAAGTGTTACCTGCTTCGCGCGCTATCGGTGTTATTATAATTGAATTTAACTAATTAAAAGTTCCGTTACACGGAAAACTACTTGTTGAGCCGATATTTGTGGCGCGTAACTCTCGCAGAATTATGCGGGCTATTAATATTGCTATAAATAACTATCTCATTATGTGCCGAAGAGCATATTGTTATTCATAGTGTTGAACGCTGTGTAATTAAAATTTAACGCATGCGATATGTATATATAATGGACGGAATTTTTTTCATTCGTCCCGACGTGTGTATTCGCATTAACCGAGATGAAGCACGTCCAGACAGATACGGTTCGAGACGCTTCGTGAGTCTGACACCTGGAAAAATCACGTTTCATTTGACATTATTTTACGACTCATCATTATCATCGATATATCGAAGACGAGATGCTTGCATTCCTTTCTCGTGAGGGCAGCACGCTCTTTGTACGTTTTCGCGAATGCTAAAATCTCGGGAATCAACGAAGAAGTGGGACGACGATGATAATGAATGAGTACGGGCGCGTGTTTTCCTTAATAACGGTAATCTCGAATCCGCTTTTCATGCCCGCCCGTGTTGACGTGAGTCGTCGGTCTGTAATTAGGATGCATTGTCACTCGCTCTGTTTAGCCTCGCATGCAAACGGATTTAATTCGACAAGCTTTAATCATCGACGCGACAAACTGCACTGTAATTACCTGCAGTGCGACACTAAGTGCTTGAGGACTTTGCTGGAAAATTGACCAGAGAGCTACGGCAAACAAGGCATAGAAAATAGACGATCTGTCCCGGAAAATGGACACGTTTAAGCAACGCTCCGCTTCTGTATCAACCTTCCGCTCAGATGTCTTCGTGTCATCTCGACGGTGTCCGCGTAATAAATGTTTAATCGGTACTTTGTGCTTCCAGCGAGAGAAGCCGGGACTGAATTTATCGCGCGAAACGCCGGGGAGATGTTTGATAAGCAATTTTCCAGACTTGCAACGGGAAAATGTCGTAAACTGATACCGTCGCGTCAATTTGCGTCAATTTGCACCTCCATTGTCACTTACGAATGGAATGAAAATCTATTTCTAAGTCTGTTTGTTTTTTTCTTTATCATTTTGATTCGCGTCATGTAAAAATGTTCGATGCATCTAAAATACCAAAATTTTTAACACGTAAAATGTAGGGATCAATACGGTGATAAAATCACGACGTATTTATTTAGGCTCGTGCGCGAGCGAATGAGATTATACGTCTCCATTAAATAGAAAATAAAAGCGGTTTGTTATTTGCAATTCCACGACTGTCTGCCGAGGCACTTTATCGCTCGTTACCAGCTCGGCCGAGTTTTCGCCCGCGGTCGTTTTTCGGTACATTTACGAGATTGCTTGGTCTCGTAAATGTGGGTTGTCAGCGGCCAGCCTGGCGATCGACCGGAAACATTAACAGCCCCGCGATCTCGCTGCCGGAAGCTGCGGCGAAGTTGTCGAAGTTGCTTCGATTAATTCTCGTTTCTGCCGACGGGAAGCTGATGAATCACCCGCGCAGTCCTGACGAACTACGACTGGTTTCTATCTCGGGTTTTCCGCCCGAGGCTGCAACCGGACTTGTAAAACGCGAGCGTGCTCGACAACAAGCGGGAACAGACCGGGCGTTTCGCGCCGGAGATTCGGAAACTCCGCGGGCAACCGCACAACGTCCGAATGAAAAAAATGCGCGTAATTCGTAAAATAATTCGCCCGGCCGACCTCGCGCGAACGATGTAATATTCGAAATATTTAATAACCGACACGATATTATATGCGGCCGGTGTGTGCGTATAAATTAAAAGTACAATTCGTCGCGTGCGGGCGAGCTAAATGAAAAACTGAAACGGATGAAAAATATCCACGTGCGTTCGAACCGTGTAAGAAATGCGGCGTAACCGTGCGAAATTGAACAGATCGATGCATTACGCAATGGAAACTTATCATTTTATCGGGCGACAAAAAAAAACCAGCAAAAGAGCGGGCTCTCGTGCGCGCGCGAAATTGAATCCAGTTTGCAATAACATCCAGCGGTCGATCTCGGGGCTTTTTGTCACGTCGAGTCGGACAAAACGCCGCGGAAATTCAACGACGCGCAAAATGCGCCGATAGTTTAATAGAAACTCTCCCCCGTCACGCGCGATCATCCCTTTGAGCCACTGTATGGGCGGGCGAACCTGTTATTAAACTGCCGCCGCTGTCGCGTTACTGCGCGCAATCCGCCGATTTATGCTGGAACTTTCCTTGCAGGTACCTTGCGGGGTCCTCCTCCGACGCGGAGACGCCGGCGAGAAGATATTGTCTCGGAAGCGGCGCAACTTCGGAAGCCAACTACAGACCGTCTCCCGCGCGAGAACGTATTTCCGCTCGGCGGAAGGTATTCGACGCGAGAGCGGGAGCGAGCCACCCGAGATTCTTCGCAGCGATCTCGATCGAGCCGAGTTTCCCGAGGATCGGAGTTGCCTCGCTTTTCTCGCCGTGAATCTCACGACATTCCGGGATGACGCAGATGCTGATGCAGGAACCCGGCTGGAAGCTGGAGCGCAAAGGCTCGGCGTTGCTGCTGCGCCGGGACAGCTCACACCCGAAGAGCAGCACCGCTCGTGTTTGCTTCCGTTGCGAGGTCGACGTGTACGAGTACGAGCGTGACGAGGAGTACTGGTCGGTCGAGACGGAAACCGAACCGGCCGCTAGTCCGTTGGCGATGTGCGCCAGTTGCCTGGCGGCCCTCTGCGTCACCATGTTCTTGCCGTGGTTACTCATCGGTGGTTAGACCGTTCCCCTCTCACCGCCCTGGTCGAAGAGAGTTCCCTTGATAACAACGCCATCGCTTCGACTTGCTTTTAACCACCGAGGATGGCCCTGCCTGTCGATCGTCGCGTCCAGGTCGTCCCCGATAATCACACAGGATATATCCAGCGGTTGCAACGACGGTTGTAACGTTAATCCCCCCCCCGATTCGTTCGATGATGTCACCGACAGCTCTTCGGACGTGTCCACCTGACCGTTAAGATCTTCCCTCGCCAATCGTGGACAGCGAGGGTACCCTCGGTCACTCTTCCGATCAGAAACGACAGCTCAGTCGCTCGTTCGTCGTACGCCCCTGCTCCCGTCGCTCGATGAAAGCGACGAGATTGCCGCGGCTTTTGTTCGACCGGTAGATCGCTGTATGGGACGGAGATGGACGACAGTTAGCGGAACGTATGTCGGTCGTACCAGGATCGTCGATTGCGCGCGCGGTGTCCAATCGATATGGCGATCCAGAAGACGCGGTTCGCACGCCTCATCGATTCCACAGCGTGCCAGAGATTTCGACGGGATTTATGGCGGAGCGGCGCTCGGGGAATCCGATGCGTACATATCGAGGAGCGTTCCCCGATTCGACGGGTGCGGTGGGTGTGGTATTTTTAACAGTGACGATCGGAAATTCGAAACGCGCTGGAAGGAGCATCGAAGTCGCGTGCGCGCATATCTTGTGAAAGTGAATTGGCGGGGCGTGGTAAACGGGACGACGATGTTTTAAGATGCCTGGATGTGGAACGCGCGGGATTCCTCGAAATTCACAATCGACTTCACGAATACCGATGATGTTCGACTGATTTTTTTTTTAATCGTATCGTAACGTAGCGCGAGATACAACCGTTTGCAAACCACACGCCGATCCTGCAATGGAGATGTGAGATGCAACGTTTTACTGTACTTTACGCTGAATGTTGCATAAACTAAATTTTTTAAAAATTTTGTATATAAGTTTTAGAGGAATGAAACAAAAGGCTGAATAAAAAAATATCTAGAAAAAAGAGAGAGAGATATATATATATTTATACTTCTATAATCGCTCGAAATTACTCCTTTCCATTTTCATACCTCTCGAGTGGGGATGTTGTGATACCATGAATATGTCGATATTAATGTTGAAGCGGATATCTAATGAAGAATATCGATATCATTAGTATTAGAATTAAAATATTGATACCGATACTGATATCGAAACTTAAAAACTTAAATTAGAGGAAATATAAAAATCAGAGAGATGTTTACCTCACAAGCTATTTTTTTTTAAGGATTTCGCACGTCTACGTATAATAATCTTATTATGGTATAAAGATACTTCTCTACTTTCCGCACTGGACTTTCTATAGTTTGTAATCTAAAAATCTTAAAGAAGAAGTGTTAAGGTTTCTGTGTCCTCGTTATGACTTTTGACGTTTTTGTTTGATGACGCGATCAGAAGCGAGAAATCGCATGCGAAACATTTTTGCGGGATATGTGGAAATAAAAACAACATACGTACAAGGTGACACTCGTGATCGGCCGCGCACACGTATAAAAAATGTCCAGACGCTTTCTTTTTACTTCAACAATCGATAAATAACCGTACAGTTAACTAAAATTAATTAAAGAACGTTAACGTTTAAAATATAAGTCGCACGTTACACTAGTTTTCATAAAACAAAAATACATGATATCTTGAAGATCACTTGAGTAAAAAAAAAGATATCAAAAAGGTATTGAAACAAAGTAGTACTGATATGGGTACGAAAATAGAAAGAAAATATTCACACAATAATATCCGATATTGAAAGAAAAATATTGACACCAGTATTATATCAGTAACATCACAACATCTCTACTACTGAGTATTTTACAGATAAAAAATCCAAGTGGAAGATAAAAATCCGTGCATGTTTTTTTCACTCGAAGGCTTGATCAAAAGGAATGACGATATAATTTTCACGTATAGTGGCACATATTTAGTTCAGAGATACATATCTGTTTCAACGTGTAATTGTCTCGAAAATACTCGCACTTTATAAGAACAATTGAACGTTTCGCGTTATGTCCACTTTAACATTGTGTTTTCTGCGAGAGATCATTAATGTTATTTATGCGATACTATTTCACATAGATACTGCTTCACGCTACAGCGAATTACGTACAAAATTCCCGGTAGTTTATAGCTTGTGTAACTTGCAACAATGCGCAATTGATTTCATCGTGCCCGCGCAACCGGCAGAATTTCCGGAAAAGCATGTGAATAATTCATTCGCGAGATGGTTAATCTGCGAAAAATCTTCGCGACCGAACGCGGAAAATCGATATTTAATATTTACTTTTACACAACGGAAAAATACCTCGTATGTATCGTAACTCAGGCTCACGACGGATTCAAAGCCGGCACCGGCTCGTCCTTGGAAACCGATTGATTTCGATTTAGCCGCACTTGCTACAGGTGGCATCGAGAAGCGCGATCCGCCTACCTACCTACCTAGCTGGCTACCTCCCGTTCCAGAAACCAACGGTTACACCGGCGGCTGTTAAGATTTAATGGTCCCATACGGCAGCTGCTACTGCAGATTTATCCCAGCCGTTTTATGGACCTTGCTATCGTTAGGTTTTAGATTAAGAGCTCGAGTAACAGCCGGCGAGAATTCGAGACTGCGCGCGGCCACGCGTACATGCACCGTAAAATCGGGAAACGGTATAACATCTCGATCCGCTCGGCTCGCAGGCGGCTCGCTCGAAACAACACATCGGCGCTGCAGAGGAGGCACGCTATCGTTTGTATTCTGTCGATATTGTGAAGTGGCCTAAGAGACTGACTCATACGTGACGGATGAGCCGCGACGTTTTGCGCGGAATACGGCTTTAGTGTCTCTACACTAACGTTATTGAATCTGGCAGATCTTCGATACGACAGAGCTGCCGGCGCGCGGAATAATGGCACAACCTGGGGAATTTCATTTCCACGCGTATATCGATTTTCCATGCTGTTCGATTGCATAATTATTTCTACGTTTTGATTCGGCCGTCGTGACGTAAAGATTTTCATCGGCTTTTTATGAGACTATTTAAGAATATTTCCCATCCGGTTGCGAAGAGATTAACACTTTCTGCGCCGCGGCGATTTCTACGTGACTTCATTGTGACGCCGCGCGGATGACCGACGACCTGGAACAATGGCTGCGTTCAACAGAGAAAGAAATTCAGCGAGCGTTTAGTTATTATCGCCTGTGACTGGAGCATTCTTTTAGATTCTTGATAGATGCAGGAGAATGTACCAATCAGGAGCAATAATCATTAAGCGCTTACTGAGCTATTTTCTCTGCTGAACGCAGACAGTATTTCTTTTAAGCCACCCTATTTCGATCAGCCTGAATAGCGGAGGTTTTCTTGGGCTCGGACTACGAAAAAAAAATAAAAATGCGATTTATTTCAATTGTCATTTAATAGTTTGTTAGAAGATATCTTTAGCTTTTTGTATTGAAAATTTGATTAAAGAATATTAATAGGAGATAAAGCAATTCGTGTGAAACGCATTTCTGCGTACACGGGTAAACGGTATACATGATTTCGCCGTTTTGATTTTCCTGAAAACCGGAAAAACCGGGAAAACAAATTATTTTCATAAATTATATCATATTCCCTATGGGTTGACCGAGCTTTTTTCATTTTTTTTTTAATTGACGGAAATATAAATGTTTGAATTTTTTTCATACTTTATGGCGCTATGATTTTTATTATGTTTTTTAAACTAAAAATGTTATCATTAAAATCGTGGGTCAGGTGGGAACTACTTTTTCCCTGAATGTTTCCAATTGCCTTGCGATCTGTCAATCGCAGTCTAAAAAATCATGCACGTCGTCTTGAAAAACATGGTTTCGAGAAAAATTTTAAAATTTAATTACTCGATATTATGAGTTTCTTTTGTTTTACCACTAATCATGCCTGCTTCATAAAGTGAACATTCCTCCTTGTGTGCAGCATCGTCGAAGATTATTCTATTCCTTCGTCATTCCATTATGCTTTCTTCAGACGCTCTGAATGTTCGCGCATCGTCTATCAAAACTTAAACTCTCGCTGCTTGTATATTGCATTCAGTCCAATGACTACATTCATTGTATCATTAAAAGCATCATTAAAAGGATGCTTGTGTAACCTTTGTTGAAGATACTGGTTATAATGTATGCGACAATTTCTACAGTGTAAGCGCCCCTGAATACTCATTTTGATGCAAAGGTCCAAATGAGTGAATTAAGGCTCCCGTATATATATATATATATATATATATATATATATATATATATTGTGTGTGAAACCTAAATAACGCTATAGTAAATCGTCCTTGCTCCTCGTCTTCTTGTTACATAGGAATAATTGCATTCATAACAACATCGGGCACTGCTGCTTTGCGTGTGTATTTGTTACATTTATCGTCTGCCTTTGCTTCGTGTCAGGTATATCAACTGCCTAGTCTAGACAGACAGTTATTGTGCTGCGGATTTGTGCTGTCGGTGGAATATCTAAAAGTAAAGCAGGAATTTGTCCAGATTGTTCCTTTCATGTCTTCAGTAGAATCTTTACTTTTTGTAATAGAGTTAGTCCGTAATAGATAGTTGGTAGATTAGAAAATTAAATAACGGTCGGACTTTCGAAAATGATGGTTACGAAGGAGAAGGAAATCCGTCTGTTATTACTTATCTATGCTGAAAGGATGCCAGAGCTGAGGAAGACAATTTTATAGAACATTCCCGAGTTGCAATTTTAGTCTTACATTAAGTCTACTTAGTTCTATATTAAATCTTCAAGTGGGGAAAACGGAAATAACTTCCCATTTGTAGCATCAGAGGAGCATAATAGAAGACTTAATGAAGGCTTGATGTAGAACCTTAAAGTAGACTCAATGTAGAACTAAATTTTCGGCCCGTTCCGATGTTTACCTGCGCACAGGTACATGAGTTCGCTTCAAACGCTGCAACTTGAAAAATATTTCGAATATCTATTTGGGATCTTTTGCACATTAGTTTCAAGACTTCAAACTATTTTCTGAAACAAAGAAATTTCGATTTTCCAAGATTTTAAAGTAAGACAACCCTTTAATAGCGAGAATATTAAACGGCCTGTTGAACGATAAGTCCATCGGTGTCTCACGCGCTCACGTGTCAATCGCGATATAGGAAACATATGAGAATAAAGGACGGATAGATGTGGTTTCAAAAACGAAGAAGAAGTTTCTGAAATTTTATAAATCCGCCTTATCATGTGCACTATGTGCGAAGAAACTTTCTCCCGGCACAATTTATCGAAAAATTATTCACTCCGCATGATATATTCTCTCTTTTGCCAGCTATCGATTGAAGGCATAGACCGGCTACAGTCTACAGTTCAATTTATTATACAGGTCCCATATACAGGGAAGTGTATATACTTCGTCAAATTTTTGTCGGGGGAAAATCATCTCCAAGTAACCGAAGAATCTGTCGATGACAGCAACGACGTTCTCGTTCGCGAGCCCAACGCGTCATAATGATCGACTTCTTTGGACTTTCGGGCGTCGAGACGTCTGGTCCTCTCGAAGAAACGGTGTGACGAACCGTCGTTAAGTACAATCGCCGGCGACAGTCGTATCCGTAACCTAGTCACATTTGATCGATCGACTGCATGCATCGACGATCCGGCGGTATATACCGGTCGTGAACTGGTACCGTTACTGTACAGAGCGCGATGATAGACACTCGCGCGCGCGAGTGTCAGATACTCGTGACACAACGGTCTCGCGCGGAAAATCGATTCTTTTAGACACTACGTCGACACGAGCATGGGTGAGGTGTGTATATCGCGCGAATTTCAAGCGAGCCAAGTATCGTGCCGTTACTCGGGATTCGTGCAATTCGACACGCGCGACGTGCCCCCGCTCGTTTTTGCCCAAGATGTTGCAAACGAGACGATATTTCATATTTCGGCTCGATAGAAATATAAACGTACCCCGCGCTTTGCCGTCACTGATTTTCTTT